CAATGTTTATTTATTTTTGGGACAGAGAGAGACAGAGCATGAACGGGGGAGGGGCAGAGAGAGAGGGAGACACAGAATCGGAAACAGGCTCCAGGCTCTGAGCCATCAGCCCAGAGCCTGACGCGGGGCTCGAACTCACGGACCGCGAGATCGTGACCTGGCTGAAGTCGGACGCTTAACCGACTGCGCCACCCAGGCGCCCCTTTAGTTTTTAATTAAAGAAATGTATCTGTATTAGACTGTCACAACAGAGGAAATTAAAATTCAGTATATGAACTTTTTCCCTACTTATTTTTTAATTAGTTATTTTTGTTTATTTATTTATTTTGAGAGAGAGAGAGAAAGAGAGAAAGTGGGGAAGGGGCAGAGAGAGAGGGAAAGAGAGAGAATCCCAAGCAGGCTTAACACCACCAGTGCAGAACCCAGTGTGGGGCTCAAATTCATGAACCACAAGATCATGACCTTATCCAAAGTCAGATGGTTAACTGACTGAGTCACCCAGGTGCCCCTCTACTTTAACTTTTTCCAGAATTATCTTCAAATCAGATAATCTCCATTATATTCCTATTAATCGTTTCAGCTTTGCACAGTATTCTATGTTAATTTGTTTAACAGATTTAATAAATTTGTTTAGTAAATTGTTTACTTTGGGGATATATAGATTTTGAAAATTCTTTATCAGGATCAATATACTTTAATAATAAATGAAAACCATATATAATAATGTAAGATTTGTGCAATAATGTTTTTTAAAGTTGTTTCTTTTTAAAGAATTTCCTGTTAACTGTTGCTTATCTATAGCTTATCTATAGGTGGGCTATAGCAGATTTGATTTTCAAATTATTATTATTTTTAACATTTTTTTAAATGTTTTATTTATTCTTGAGAGAGAGAGACACAGAGCATGAACGAGGGAGGGACAGAGAGAGAGAGGGAGACACAGAATCCAAAGCAGGCTCCAGGCTCTGAGCTATCAGCACAGAGCCCGACGTGGGGCTCGAACTCACAAGCAGTGAAATCATGACCTGAGCCAAAGTCAGACGCCCAACTGACTGAGCCACCCAGGCACCCCTCAAATTATTTTCAATAGCATCTTTTGTTCAGATAAATACTTGGTTGATAAAAATATATATTTGTTTTCTGTGAATAAACAAAAGCTATAAAAGATAATTTAAGCCAAAGTTAATTTCCTGTCTTTCCTTTGGAAGCTACATCTGAGGCCATTTTCCTTACCATTGGAATGATAGAAATATGATTCATTGTGGGCAGTAGCATAGGAAAAGAAATGGTAGAAGTGTTGGCCAGCAGGCTAGAGTTGGAACCTTAGATTAATAGCCTGGAAAAGATAAAGACTAAGTAAGTATGAGAGAATAAGGTTTGAAGCTAGAGTTCAGAAGAATCCAGAGATGCTGAATCTAGAGACTGTCATTATTCCAGAGAACAACATCCGTTAAGAAAGCCCCAGGAAAGGCGAGTGGGTGGCTCCCTTCGTTAAGCATCCGACTTCAGCTTAGGTCATGATCTTATGGTTCCTAAAAGTGAACTCTGCATCGGGCTCTCTGCTGTCCGCACAGAGTCCGCTTCAGTTCCTCTGTCCCCTTCTCTCTCTGTCTCTCTCTCTCAAAAATAAAATAAGCATTAAAAAAAAATAATAAAAGAAAGCCCCAGGAAAGTGGAACCAAAAAGATTGGATATTACCTCACTATTCAGGTGGAATAAAGTATGAGATGTCATAGCTTTTCTCTGAAGTGATCATCTTTGTCCTCCACTGTTGACACTTCAAGAGATACTTAATAGGACTGATGCATTCTATAATAAAATGAGAATCAGGGGGAGGCGCCTGGGTGGCTCAGTCGGTTAAGCGTCCGACTTCGGCTCAGGTCATGATCTCACGGTCCGTGAGTTTGAGCCCTGCATCAGGCTCTGTGCTGACAGCTCAGAGCCTGGAGCCTGTTTCAGATTCTGTGTCTCCCTCTTTCTCTGACCCTCCCCTGTTCATGCTCTGTCTCTCTCTGTCTCAAAAATAAATAAACATTAAAAAAAAAAATCCAACTCTTCGTTTAAAAAATAAATAAATAAAATGAGAATCAGGGGAGCCTCTGATTCTTCTTGTAGCATCTCCCA